TATTTCAGAGGCTTTTGCTCCATGTGCCTTTCCTGTTGTAAAGAATTTTAGTGTGTTTTTAGAGGTTTGGATGCAGCACACAAAACTAGTATCTTTTCAAGTTCATCCTTTCATTGTAGAACTAACAAAAACTACTTGTGGATTAAAGCAAATGCTTCTCAAGATTAATCCTATTTGTTTAAATCTATTTGTATAAAAACCTTTGATTGAGGAAAATGAAAGAAATGGAAGCTACATTTCTTTATGCCAGATTTGTGTTCTTCTTGGGCAGACATTTCAGTGCAATCCTGATCTAACAGGAGTTGTCAGCTTGGTGCAAAGCTGTGGGATGTCAGCTCCAGCCAGACCCTATCATCTCCAACTCGTTCTGAATTGAATCTCTTTAAGAATTGTGTGATGATCCTTGTTTTAAATATCCTTGTTTTAAATCCTTGTTTGATAGCATAGCTCTGCAAAAATGAGGATTGAAATGCACCTGCAAAAAATAGACCTTTCCTTTGATAGAAGTGAAATGAACTCATGGGATATGCATGTGATAGAAATATGCTTGAGCAATTCCTGTAAAATACAAGCTCTACAAAAGATGGTGGTTTTTTAGCTTTTAGGAAACATTTCTGTCTCAATTAGCAATTGTCAAGGTGGCATGGTTAAAAAGATTTTCTGCTGTAAAGAGATGAAACATCAGCTCTCCAAACACCTTGGCTTATCTAAGGAAGCAAGTTGAGACAATTGTTTTAGAGCCCTCTGAACACAGCAAGGGACCTGCAGAAATTCTTTGCAAACTCTTTTGATATTGTCGTATCCTAAAGAGTGCCAGACTGTCTTTCACACTTCAGAAGTGTGAGAATTTTGCTTATCTTAGAGACTAAAGAACCTAGAAGATAAATGGAGATGGAAATAATAACGAAAAAAATATTGTGCACTCTTCCATAAAATGGATACATTTGTGTTTGATGCAGTGGCATTATGATTTTATTCCACTTTCAGAATCTGATTTTGTTTAGCACTATGTAAAATCTTCAGACTATTTTTACAACTCCTGTAGAGTCTTTTCCTTATGCAGAGCAGATTCCTCTTGGCACCCTTTCTTTGCACATAGGTGTTGCTTCCCTTCTCCAGTGCTCTGATCAACATTTGGTGCCATTCCTGGCAATCAGCAGCTCTCCATAAGTCAGAGTTTAACTGGTGGAGGTTTGGAAGAGGCTTTGGAGATTATAAAGTTCCTGTTTTAAAATAAAGCTGGAAATGGCAAATTGGATGAGATTCTGTCTGCTCAGCTTTGCTGCCACATCATGGAGAAGGAAGTCTGGTCTTCAGTCAGAAATTTTCCAAGTTCAGATTTGGTCTGGGCTTATCTTTGATATTAAACTTTTAAGCTGGTAGTGGAGAAATGAGAATGAGGACAAGAAAAAAAATTAGCATTACTGTTGCTTTCAGATCCTAAACTTGAATAAATTTAATTCCAGATAGAGGAGTCTGGGAGAAGTCAGGCTATATAGAAGCACTGCCATAATTGATGGGTTGCAGGCAAATACTGAAATAGTGCAACATATAGAATATTCATTCCCCTTTGCACTGGGGTCTGTAGAAGTATTTAATTGAAAGAAGCTGCTGCCAGCAAGACACCAAGTGGGCTGTGTTATTGCCTTTTTTGGTTCTTAGGATTCTGAAATTAGAATAGGAAAGTTTAAACAAAGCAGACAATTTATCAGAGGCATAATTTTTTTCAATGTGTTTGTGGCTGAAACAAAACATTACTGTTCCTGAGATCTTGTGACACCCAGTGACTGATAGGGGACTGAATCAGTGCTCTTTCTGAAGTGTTTTGTAAGTTTGAGGTACTTCATTGGGTGAAACTTCTGACTGTCAAGGAAATGCTTCACTGGACAGTGTGCCAGCACTATCAGCTTCTGTACATTGCTTCTTCACTACTTCTGTAAGGTAATGAATATGTGCACATGGACCAAACTTCTGATTGTAATGGTGTTTTTCTGTGTTCAGCATGTTTTTGCCCCTGCTTACAAAGAAATACTTCAGCTGTTCTGGGGTGTTATTGTGGAAGAACTGGCTGACTTGGTACAATCATTCAGTCATTGTGAGTATACAGTCATTGAAGAGAGGCTGGGGAGTGCTGCTAATCAATAGAAGCAGGCTTTTGTTAAACATTTGTTTTTCTTCTCATGCTTGTTTTCTGGAATCTCCTCAGTAGTGTTTGCCCCTGATTGTATTTACATTTGTAAATTCTGAATTCCCAGCCTTGCTGTGGGTGAGCAGGACATAGCCTGTGGTGAGACTCCCCTCGGCAGGCACAGCCCCAGCATCATCAGTTGTTTGCTGCTCTCCCATCCCTCTTCCTCACAGTTTGAATGTTACCTATCTTTAATCTGTAAGAACTGGTACTTCTGTGCCAAGGAGACTGTGCATTTGTTGCTGCAGCTGTCTGACTCTGGGACTTCTGTTTTGCAAGATTGCAATTGCTCCGATCAGGTAGTAACAAAAATTTTTCTGCTTCAGGGTTTTTATGAAAGTGGTCTAATGTCATGGATCAGACTTTATGAATTGAATTTTTTTAAATATTCTTGTCTGCTTTGTATTCTTGTGTGCTTTTATGATGAAAGTACTAAAATTAGCACTACCGTGCTTGTAGTTCGAATTAAATAGGAATAGTCACAGAAGCTTTGTTACTCTTCTAGATCTGTTAGTCTAACATCCTTCTGGAGCATTAATTCCACATTTTGCCTGACATATAATTTGGCTCAAAAGCATGTGATTGTGTTAGGATATTTTGTTAGATTTCAGAAATGTCTGCTGGTATTTGTCTTTCTCTTTCTGTACATCTTGAGTCTTGAATGTACTTGACTCCCCTCAGGGAACAAGTAAGTCCCTGGTATTGTGATGCTGCAACAAATGCTATACCTTAGGCTGTGAAAATCCAACTGAAAAATACTCATTTTCCTGTTACACATCAGCTTCCCATTTATGTCCAGCAGTTTGTTTTCTTCTGTCAGTTCTTCCTTACTGCTACTGAGAAATAGTTTCATTACTGCTAAAGAATGATTCATTAGCATGTGGTTTGCATTTGTAGGAAGCCAGTCTTGTAGAGACCACATTCCTGGTGCTTGTTTGTTTTACAGACTCAAATGCAGATGTTTTCCTTGTACAGACAAGTCAGAGGTGTCTGTCTGTGTCTGCCAGGCTGGGGGCTTAAGATAACAACCCATCCCAGGCTGGCAGTGTCACTTCATCCATGCAGGCTGTGTGTGTTGGCAGCAGCAGCCCTGTGTGCCACGCTCCATCTAATCACAGGCTTCTGTGCTGGGAGGGAGGGAGGGCAGTGCTGCCTGGCAGCCTTTGTTTTCAGAGGCTCACATCACATTGCTGCTAAAGTTGAGGAAGGTGACATGCCAGATCTTGCACAGCATGAGCTAATGCTTTGGTTCTCCTAGAAAAGGGCTTATTTGTATATTGAAAATTGCTCTTCTGTTAGTGGGATTTCTTAGTGGTCAGCAAAGTGGGCACATCAGATTGTAGAGATGGATAAGAGTCAATTAAACACCACATCTGCTTTGTGTGTTGGTGTTGCCCAGGTTTAATTCACTCACCCAACTGTCCAGCACTGAGAAATGCCAGTGCAGGCTCAGGGCAGTATCATGTGGCAGCAATAGGTCATTTGTGTTGTGAAACTGCACCTCTCCAGCAGGGTTGACTTAGGAGAGTAATAAATATGCTGCTTCTGGGTGTGCAGAGCCTGACTGTTTTTGTAGGAGTGACCACTGCTTGTTTTTCCTTCCAGGATTATGTTGGTTTGCTGTCTGTACTGCACCACATGCTGTGATTCACCTGTAGCAGGGTTCAAGAAGGCCTGTGGCATTTCAGCCCGTGATTGGGACTGACAGCTTCTCTAGGAGAAAAAAAAAAAGCAACTTTTCCTGCAGCTAGAACAGAAGGAGTTGTTTTCTGTGAGCAAAGTAGAGGATGCCTTGGTGATAGCTCATCTTGGAGTGTGGGAGCAGAGCCCTTTGGTGTCAGAGGGTGTTTGAATGCAGAATGTGCAGACACCAAACTTGCCCAGGTGCTTCCTAGCACAAACAGCAGTGAGGAGACAGGCATTGTCAGCCCTCTGAATTCCCCTGGAAAAGGTCTGTTTGGAGGAACATGCTTTATTTGAACTCTAGGCCCTGAAGGGGTTGAGAAGCAGGGTGAAGGTCTATCAGCTCAGCAGACGTCTGTCCTCTTGGTGGGTAGGAATCGTTTTGTGCAAGCAGAGAAGTCTGTTTTCTTCTGAAATAAACTAATACATAAAATGAAGGAGAACTTGTTTGCTTGTACCCTTGTAGCATGACTTTAAATGTCATGTTGCAGTACTCTGGTGGTGCTCAGGCTAGCACGGATTGTGTTTGCCAAGAGTCCACGTAATGCAAGCAGCTCTGCATGGAAACAGGCCCTGGCACTGTAGTTTTCTGTCTTCCTCTCCACTGCAGCCTGTAACTTTCTTCTCTACAGTGAAGGGCTGGCAAAATGTTTTGTACTTTGCCCATACCCTTTGCTGTTACAGTTTGCCTGCATTTGCAGCCTGTTGCTGCTTCTCCACCTCAGTAAGGGGTGTCTGTCTGCCCTGGGGTTCCTACTCTGCATTTGGGTCAGGACCCTCATTGCAGTCTGGTGTGGCCCTCTGGAGTGGTGATGGCAGTCAGGCCTGGATGTGGGGCTTCCATGAGCAGTCAAGCTAATCCAGTGCATTCTTGATTCCTTCCTCTCTGTGATATTGTAACAAAGTGAGTTAGTTTTTGGTACACCCATTCTTCATTCCAGCTTTTGTATTGCAGATGAACTGGCTGTGAGCATCATGTCTAGCAATTTAATGTGAATTGATTATCACTGGGATATTGTACTGAGATTATACAGTTTTTATATGAAAATCATACTCCTAAGCAGAGAGGTGTGGCTTCAAAATGTGCAAACTTTGACCTTTTTTTTTCTTTTTTTTATTTTCCACCTAGGTATCACATGCTGTTGCAAAGCTAGTATTAGTTAGTTTCCACTGGCAAATCTCAGAGATTTTGGAAAGGTAAGTGTAAATAGCCTTATCTTCTCTGTGCTTAGTGCTTTCTCCCCTGGCTTTGCAGAAATGCTCAAGGTGCTCCATAGGTATTTTTGGCAAGTGTCTTTGGACCTGGAAGCAGGACACACAGTCCATTTTAGGGAGCAGAGGAAAGCTACTGATTTGTTGACGTTTCACTGGCTGTAAGAAATTTTTAAGCAGGGAGAAGGTAGTAGTAGTAAATGTCTTTCAGTTTAGGAATTATTGTTGTGCTAGGAACCCTAACCCTCTAGATAGATTTATCCTAAATTTTGAGATAGCATCTTGAGAGTGCTGCATCTATATTTATTTAATAAGATGTAAAGATAACATATGTTCTGCTTTGAACAAAGGAGCCATAAATCATAAAGGACCACTGACCCTGTTCTGATGTAGTCTTCAGTAGTACATTCACACTGTAGTTTTTGTTCCTTTTGACATTAAGTGATGTTTTTTTCCCAAGCTGGCCAGCATTTGGAGAGCAGGAAAAGATAGTGTGAGAGAAGTGAGCACTGCAGCTCCTTTGTTGGGTCAGTGTCACTGTTATTAACAAACCCCTCCAGCTGATTTCAGAAAGAGGGTTTGGACTCTGCCCTGGCATATGCAGGAAGTGCATTGGGAGGCATTGCTGCTGGCAGCCCCCCCACAGAATACTGGCTCAGAACTGAACATTGGCTGAAAATAGAGAGCATATCAGCTTGACTCATTCTGCCCAGACATTTTTGGCCCTGTAGCCAGCAACTTTATCCAGAGAATGTATGGAAAATGCATCCTGTCTATGGATGTTGTTGCCTCCTTGATCACCCTGTATCCTGTGAAAGCTTTTCCCTGGGATTCAAGGAGAGTGAGATTCCTGCATAGCAGCTCTGGGTGATCCTGCAGGTTAAATGATGAGGCTTAAACAAGAGGAAATTTGGGGAAGGGTTTACTCCTGAAGTGATGAATTTGCAAATTGTTCTCCTGTTGATCTAGTCCTCAAACTTCTCTCTTGGTAAAAAATGAAATTGTCAAAAGAAAGCTCACTAGTATAACTAAGAAGTGCTGGTGAGGAGGGAGGATTTACAGCAAGGCCACAACAGTGATGCTGCTGTTTCTGAATTCAGTGAGATACAAACATTCATCTGCAAATGAAATCACAAACAGCAAAATATGTTTAATTATATGGCTGCTGATAGACAGCTTCATATGCCTAAAGAGTGATAATCTGTCACAGAGTAATTACTTAAATGGACAATAGTCTGGAGTTAAAGTGAGACTTAACCAGGACAGCTTAATTTTACAGAGGAATAGGAGGCAGTGCAGAGCCCCACTGGTGTGTGTTATTGTGGACAGGGGATTTGGACTGCTCTAGGAGTGTGGGTGGAAAATCTTAGCTTAAAAATAATTTTTCAGGGGAGAGAGATAGTTATAGAAACGTATTCATCAAGATGTGTAAGGGAAATGTTAATCCATTCCCAGGAGAAGTAGTATTTCTAGTTCTGAATAAACTCTCATAAGATTTTGTTGAGGGGAGCTCAGCTCTCTATATGAAGGAGCCTCACACAGGAGACATTTCCACTTTCCTGTTGAAACCTCCCCTACTATTTGCACAGAGACAGCTGTTTATTCAGTTCAGATAGTTCAGATCAAGAAGGATCAATTTATGCAAAATGTATTCAGAACCTGATTTGATCATTCTTCAATTGCCTTTTCAGGCACAAGGCTAATGCTGCCCAGTTGCTAGTAGAAGCTCGAGTCCAGCCCACCTCATCCAAACATGTAAGTATGTGAACTATCCCGTCTGTTCCCTTGGCAGACACCTCTGACCCCCCTCTTGGGGGATTGCATTACTAATGGCATCCTCTGTCCAGTGTTAACCCTTTGCAAACTCTGGTCTGACACCCAGATTCACTGCTGGGTTTATTTCTGAAATGAGAATGCATTCAAGAGGTCTCTAATATTTAAATAGCAGCTTTGCTGTTGGCTTGCAGGTGGTGTTCAAGAATGACTTCAAGGAAATTAGGATGATTTTTTGGCACAAGTGATGGCAGACAATGGAAGGAGCAGAGTGCATGGGCTTGGCTGCCTCTTCTAACTCTGTTCTGTGTCAAAAGACACTGAAAGGAAGTTCTGGCTGCACAGAGTGAGCAGAGCTTGTCTGTGTCTGGAACAGATTTTTAGATTTTTTTGTCTTTTCTTTTAGCATTTTTATCTTTTTTATCTATTTGCACTGCTCAGCTCAGGGATGCTTAAGCTAAATCTCCCAGTGAATTGTGTTGCTGCTGAGTCAGTCAGTGCTGATATTTGAACCAACAACTTGTTGTTCGTAGCCAGGGCTACACAGATCTTCAGATACTTCCCCCCCGCCCCCCCTTTAAATAGAAACTTCCTGTTGCATGCTTATAGATTTCATTCACAGTGGGTGTCTTGGGACAATGCAGAATTACCCTAGGAACACACTGCCATGTGTCAGATTATGAGTGATAAAATACTACATCTGGGAAGCACTCAGGGTTGTGGGGGAGAGGAGATCTTAAAAGTCTGATTTGGCATCTGAGCTCTCCTATAACTAGTATAGTGAAAAAGCTAAGCTGGCAGAAGTGTAAACTTCATGGGCTCAAATTATCTGCTTAAAGTCCAGAAAAAAAATCTTTCTAATTTGACATACCTGCAAATTAGTCTGTGTAGTTCAAGATTTATCCAAGTCTTGTATCAGCTGTCACTTGAGTATTCCCCCTGCAATGGGCCATTCCAACCTCCTTGGCAGGCAAGGTGAACCACTGGCACATCATTTCAGTCAGGGTCCTGGGTTTGGACCAAACACTTTCCCAGCTTTAATTTACAATAGCTTAATATTTTACTCTGAGGAGGTAAGAAAATATAAAGTATAGGAGTGGTGGTAGAGGAATCTGTTTTGCCCAATGTGGCAACCCAGAACAATGCTTGAGGCAAACTTCTATACATACTGCTAAACTGAAACAAAACTTTACAAATATAAACATGACAAAACTACTGAGACAAAATGCATGCAAATAATCAATGCAGTGAAGAACAGTGTAACTCTTCAGTCCTGTTGCCACTTCATCTTCTCACGAAATATCTGTAAGAGGAGAGAGAAAAGAAAACCCAGTCCTGCTTGGACTGGTTTTAAAAAAAAAGAACTCTCCATCTGGTGTTAATTTTGTTCTGCCATGGGCATCTGTGGCTACCCATGGGATCCCTGAGCTTTGCCCTTTGTGCAGCATCTGACTCTTCATTTGCAACAAATCCTACCTGTGTGCCATAGGTTACCAGCTGCCCCCATGTGAGACCAGGTCCTGCCTGCAGCCCACCCCCACAAGCAGCTCTAAGCTCTAAGCAACTGAGTTGCCTAAAGTTCAGTGAGGTAGTGCTTTAATTAGGGGGGTTTATTCTCTGGCTCAGCAAACAAAAGCAAGGAGAAGACTGAGAGGCTGCAAGACCCCTGTTGTGTATCATTTGGAGGCAGGCAGCCTGTTGCACACTCTTGGTCAGATTACCCAGTGCTGGAGTGGGAATAGAGATGGGTTCTCCCCTCTCCAAGGGGTCTAAACCTCCTGCCCAGTGGGCTGTCCTTTGGGTCAGAGACCAGGGCTCTCTGCCATTATGCATTGTGAAGGACACTCTGGGACCCCAGGGTCCTTGTGTTTCATCCTCCAACAGCTTTCTGCTGTCTCCCCCCATAACTGAAATCCTCCACACATACTGTTTCAGTTTCCTTTGCATGCCTGCTGTATTTTTCTTGCAGCTGAGCCAGCTCAGTTGCAGAATAAGGCATTTGTTTAGTTGTTGCAGTGGGTGCTGCCTCCTCACACTCCATCTCATAAACAGCATCAGTCTTTATAAGTTGGCAGAGTTTAGGGAGAGGCGGGGGGTCTGGCTTAGCTGTATCAAGCTCCTCCCAAGGATAAAGGCAAGTGACATCATTGTCAGTAAGGTCCACCTCTTAAGTGAGTCTGGAAAGCCTCACCTCATTCTCTAAATCCTCCCCCTTCAAGCAGGCAATCTGCAAATGTAGTTCTCTTTCTCTTACAAGGGATTAATTAGTTAAGTATGGAAGTTTTCTGTTATAGTCTCTTTTCAGCATTTAACTCATTATGTGTTTTCTGCTGGGCACTATGTTCTGCCACCAAGGTCACCTGCAGTATTCTATCCAGTTCAGTCAAAGACCCTTCACCACCTTATCTCATTGCTCAGCTCTGTGCTTATCTCTTTGAGCAGCTATTAAAGCAGCTCCTAAAAGTGTGCAGACTATGGATTTGCCCTTACTAATTTTTTTCTTCTTTTTTGCTAAATACTATATTTTTTTCCACAAGACCAGCCAGAGAATGCCAGTTTTCCTTATCCCAGCTCTGTCCATTCAAAGCTGGACAAGCTTTATAATCATTCAGCAAGTCTAGCTAAAGGTAGCAGTTGAGGTTGCACTTTTCCCAGGTTACCATGATCTCTCTGCTGGAAAATTTGGCTTTGACTGAATAACAATTCTCCGTTGTCCAACACTCTGTGTTTGTCCCAGTAGAAAGTAGCTCCTCACCACCCTTAAGGACTCCCTGCTCACTGCACCTGAAAAATTGTCACACCCTGAGCTCTCTCAATGAGTGTTTGAAAGGGGCTTAGATGCTGTGATACCCCTCGACAGAGTGCAGGAGAAGGCAACAAATTTCTCAGGAGGTTGAATAGCAAACTTTTACTTAGAAACTTTTGACCATAAATGACTTGGCAAATATTAAAGCAATATCTAGTTAAAGTAATGCAAGGCACTGAGTTAGCAAACTCTAATCCATCCAGATTTCAAGAAAAGGAAGTTGGGAGAAGAAAGAAATGAAAAAAGAGAGAGAGAGAGATAATAGTCACCACCTTGGATCCAGTCAATCTTAGCTGCTGTAAGGCCCAAGGCAGTGGGACTCACTGAGTCTGCACCCTGTTGTTATGGCCTTTTATCTGTTCTGGTCCCTCCCCACAGGTGGGGCTTTCAGTGTCCAGTGGCTTGGTCCACTTTGGGCCTGGACCAGAGGCTCCAGGTTCCAGTAGGTGGGAAATGGAGCAGTGACCACCCCACCTTCACAGAACTTGTCCTGCCCCTGCCCAGACACACACTCTAGTTGTTTTGAGATATTCATAATTTCTCTAGTCTCCTACAGTGATTTTATTTTAGGAAGAAAGATAATCTGGTTAAAAGGTTAACTTAAACTTGATTTGCTAGGCAATTCAGCTTGTAATGCAGAATGATTCTGGGGACAGATGCTCATAGTGAGTGTCTGCAGAGGGACTGACCCTGTTGGGAGAAGCTATAGTGGTGAGCTGGGAGAGGCAAGGGTTTGGGGTAGCACACGTGCTCTTCAGGCTGAGCAGCTGATCCTGGCAATCAGTGCAATTACAGACTCAGTGAATCCTGTTCTGGTCTGTAAGTGAGGCCACTTAGAACAAATTTGCATTACTTCTCTTTGATGTGGCCATGCCACGAATCAAGCTCTGTCAGTGTGCTCTTCAGGCTGAGCAGCTGATCAGTGCAATTACAGACTCAGTGAATCCTGTTCTGGTCTGTAAGTGAGGCCACTTAGAACAAATTTGCATTACTTCTCTTTGATGTGGCCATGCCATGAATCAAGCTCTGTCAGTGTCATGGTGCTGCTGCTGTGCATGTCCAGCACGCAGAGCTCGGCCTGGAAGCTGAGGGCAGGCTTCTCCACCACCAGCTTCTCCACGAGCAGCAGAGTGGATGAAAAGTGATTATATGACTTCTCTGTGAAAGGAAAAACTGGAATATAAACTGCAGCTGACAGCTTTGTAGGGCCTTGGTTTTGATGATGCTGGGCTAGGGCTAGGCCTAGTTCTGCAGGTCCCAGGGGTGAGTGGAGATGTGTTGAAGGCTGGATCTGTTGTCTAGGGATCAGCTCTGCACTACATAGGAGGAAACCAGGGTACTTTCAGTGATTTGGTGAAGCAATAGCAGTTGTGCCTGATTTGAAATAAACCCTCTTAATCCTTTTCAGCTGAAGGGACGATGCCTGTTTTGCCAAATGTAGCATAGGCAGAAGATAAGAGATGGGAGGTGATAGTTTGTGAATTCCCTCTCCTCTCCATATAAACACTCTACAATTGCATCTTCCATTACCCTAAATTACTGTCTGGTAAAAGGGCATTGCTAAGTCTGTTTGCAGTGACAGCTGCTCTCCAGAGCCTGTGGAGATGGTCTGGCCCAGCTAACAAAGAATATCAGTAAATCCAGGGAAGGACTAACACAATGACATATTTCAAACAAGGCGAGAGAAAGAACCAGAAAAGTAAAGGGGGGTTCTGGGCAGCACTAGAGGAGAGGCAGAAACTCTTCAGTGACTGTCAGCTTGTGCTCTGTGAGATGAGAAGTTCTTGAGAAGGACTGACTGTTTGGGGCAGTGCAGCACCTTAGCACAGCAGCTGCTCATGAACCTGTTCTGGCCCGGACCTCCATGGAGACCATTGTCACAGTGAGGGTGATGCAGGTGTGTGTGGAGGAGCTGAAAATGCTCTGGGAGGTGTTGATGCTTTCACTGCCCTGCTGATTTGTCTCTCCGCAGGCAATGGTACATTCCTCCCACCACTGCGCCGTGTGCATGCAGTTTGTCCGGAAGGAGAACTTGCTCTCCCTGGCTTGTCAGCACCAGTTCTGCCGCAGCTGCTGGGAGCAGCACTGCACAGTGCTCGTCAAGGATGGTGTTGGAGTGGGTGAGTTCAGGGTGGAAGTGGTGCTGGGCCTGTATTTGCCCCACTGGCCCTTCTGATGAGTCAAGAGCATGACTGTAACAAGTTAAAAACTGCAAATCTGTTGAATAGAATTTGCATCTGTGATGATGTACTGTTGCAATGCCCCTGGAGTGCTTGTGGATGCAAACATCTGTTCCCTTTGTGCTGGGGAGAAGCCAGTAGTTGCCAGAGTTGCTTTGGGCTTTTCCAAGCCTGTCTTTCATGTTGGCATGGCACTAACATGTAATTTTCTAATTTAAGTATCTGACCTTGTGAATACTGGTTGAAGCACTCACTGGTCCTGGATGCACATGTGCCCTGTCATCTTTTGGTGAAGACAGTTGGGCTTCAGCTTTTCAGCAGCCCTGATTTGTTTCACAGTTGTATTCCTCTTGCCACAACAACAGATGGCACTGAGGAAACTGTGCTGAGTACTCTCTGTGCATCCACCCCTTAGTATAAGCTGCACTGAGATGTTGCTTTCTCTTCTCAGGGGTGTCCTGCATGGCTCAGGACTGTCTACTCCGGACACCAGAAGACTTTGTGTTTCCATTGCTGCCTAGTGAAGAGCTGAAAGACAAATACAGGCGCTACCTCTTCAGGGACTATGTGGAGGTAGTAGATTTTTTTCAGTTTTAAGATACCCTGGGTCAAATCACCAATGACTTGCAGAAATTTTGTTTGAAGTGTCTGGCATTTTTGATTAGAACTGCAGTAGCTGCAGCAAAATTGTCCTCAATAGATAGACATGATGTGGCTGCTTCTGTAGGACAGCCTCACTGACAAAATGCTCTAGGAGGTTGCCAAAGTAAATTCTGCTGTAAGGTCATCCACTCACTCCTTGGCGGAGGCTTCAGAATTCTCAGAGTGTTGCAGCTGAGAATTTCAAAACCTCAATCTGATTATTCTAGTCCTTCTTGTTCTTACATAAATACTTTTAGGTTCAGAAAAATAGGTCCTTCAACTTAGGGTAGTCCAGCTGAATTGGCTTGCTCAATTACATTTTATGTGAGCTTTCTTGAAATTAAAGCAGCAATTGTTAAGGTTAAATATGCAGGGGTATTCTGATAACTGGGAACAGACAGGGAACACTAAAAAAGCAGCAAAGCAATATGAAAGCATGATGTCACCTCTTCTCAATAAGAGACCCTTTGGGAACAAATGGCCACTATAGGAGAGCAGTTGAATAGATAAGAAGAAGATGGGGAAAGAGCTCAAATGGAGCAAAATAGTTTGCTTAGTGTCTTTGTGGGGTTTTGTTTGTTGTGCTGACTTAGTTTGTAAGAATCCACTTGAATTCCCTGTTCTAGAGAAGCTGTGAGTAACTAACAAACCTCTTCCATACTAGGAAATGCAGGATCTGCTCTGATAGCCAAGACCTGGTGACACTTTCCACTCATTTTTAATACGAAATAACTGCTTTGTATGTTTTTGAGGATAGGAATGGTTAAAGTTGAACAGGTAATGGTCTCCTGCACCCACTGCTGATCTTAGTCCCTTGTTGTGTCCACAGAGCCATTACCAGCTGCAGCTGTGTCCTGGTGCAGATTGCCCTATGGTCATACAGGTACAAGAGCCAAAAGCCCGGCGAGTGCAGTGCAATCGTTGCAATGAGGTCTTCTGGTAAGAAACAGAGAAGGTTACAGACCACAGGGAAAGTGTGTGCTGTCCTCAGAGCAATCCTTTTGCTTGCCAACAGTTTTGGTGTGTAGAAGTGTCTGAAATGCTTTGCTAGAGTTGTTTGTAACTTGAGTTGGCCTGAGTAATTGGACACTTGTGATCTGACTTCTGCAGGTGGTCAGATGTCCCCTTGCTTCCTAAGCTCTGGGAACTTGGGTGTTCTGACAACCAGGGAACCAGCTTGAGTAACCAAGGGGTTATAAATCTACCATTCTCACATTTTGGCTAGTTAAATTTTTTCCTATAGACACAGTGGTTAATATAGATTCTGATAGTAAATATGAAGTCCCTCTTGCTACCTGCTGGTATTGAGTTTTTAAGTTTATTTAAAACATTTGACTCCCAGTTTAGAGACCCAGCTTTCTGGTATCTCCATTCCAATGGCCCTTACTCACCTGGAATTGTCAAGTCATGCTAATACAGGTGCTTGATATCTGCCACTGGAGTCAGGCTACTTGTAAGTGACTGGTAAGTGACTGCAGATCTCTGCAGTCATGTTAGAGGAGCCATAGGTGGGCTCTAGGAAGGGCCAAGTCAGCCCTCAGACATGTGTTTTGTCAGGCCTGGGTTCACTTCCATCCTCACTCTGGCTTTTACACAAGAAGGGGGAACTGGAGTTCAGTTTTGGTCTTCACACTCTACTAATACACAAGAGCATTTCCATCCCTTACTGGGCCCCCAGATTTTGGTCAGGAAAACCTCAGTCCTTGAGTCATTTCCATAGAAATTGATATGTTGTTTTCTTCTCTTCTCCCCCTTTTTAGCTTTAAGTGTCGGCAGATGTACCACGCACCCACAGACTGCGCGACCATTCGCAAATGGCTCACCAAGTGTGCAGATGACTCTGAAACAGCCAACTACATCAGTGCTCACACTAAAGATGTAAGGACGGGCACCTGCCTGTTATTTCTTGTCCTCTAGCCCTGCCTGGAAACCAGGATAGAATTCTATACACACAGAGCATTGTGTTCTTCTTCTCTGCAGACTACAAATCCTCACAGCTCCCTAGGGACTGCCAGGAAGCTTCTGTCAGAAGCTGCTGTCATATGTGAGCTAATTACATCCCTATGGCACTGACATAACTCAACTGAATGCCTTGGGAAAGCTTTGTGTGGGAGGCTCAGCTGCCCTCCTGCAGTAAGGACCTGGTGGTCCTTATTCCAGACCTGGTGTGAATGTCTTTGACTGCCAAGTGTGCTGTCCTCCCACAGGCAAAAGAACTGTGGGTACTTTGAAATGATCAGTGGAGATGTATTTAAAATGGAAGGAGAGGGTGTCATAAATGCAAAGGCAGTAGCAAATAAGGAACCAGTGGTGTTTAATCCTGAAAATCTTTGTGCAGAACTGTGAACTGGAGGGTGAGGGAAAAAGTCTTGTTTTGGCAAAGACTGCAAAATGGGGTAGCTGAAGTCTGTAAATTAGACATTGGAGTACTTCTAGTAGGTTTAGACCCAAGACAAAGAAACAGTATTACATACTGTGCATGTTAGCCTACCTACTATAGAATTGTTGTATAAATACACTATCTTTAACTTCTAAATTACCTGTCTGAGATTGGAACTTCTAATGTCTTTTGGGCATTTTGTGACCTGACTTCAAAACAGTTTTTGGCTACATTTGTGCTACCATGGCCAGTGGCAATTGTGACAGTGGTGATTAGCTGCAAGCTTCAGTTATGTTAGGAAAGGGGATACTTAAATGGATCAGAGATTTCAAGTTCTCTTCTTTCTCTGGAGAAGGTGTCAGCACGTGATGGTATTGTTTCTGCTATGCTTATTTGTAGAAATTTTATTTTATTGAGCATTGTCCTGGCATACATTTTGCCTGACATGAAAATTTATACAAAGTAGCAAAACTCACTTTCTCCTTTTTACCTATGCAGCCCAAAAATATATATCTGGGTATCTGTGGAGTGGGGCTGTGTGCAGCTCTCCTGTGGTTAGGCAGAATCTCTGCAGGTAGCTGGGATGTCATTTGTTAATAGCTGCTGAAGGAGGAGTATAATGACAATTATCTGTAGCCAAGTAGCTGTGATACACTGTCATGCATGAACTAATTGTGTCCCTGTGCCTGAGTAACTGCAGAGTGGTAACTCAGCAAGACCTTCAGTTTTACATGGAGTAACAACAGCAAATATGTTTGCTTGTGCAAACAGTCCAGTGCTGCAGTGCAACTTCCTGACTTTGCCTTTCTGCCATCTTCTAAGTGGAGCTGTCAGGAACTGGTGGGAAGCAGGGTATAAATGCTAATATTCTCATATGAGAATATTTCTCATACATGAATGCATATTTTTAAGGAAAAAAGGCAGAGAGGAATAATCACACAAGTGCTGTCATTCTTCAGAAGGCTGCTAGAGTTGGATCTAACAATTGTGTCTGTTTCCTCAGTGTCCCAAGTGCAATATCTGTATTGAAAAGAACGGAGGCTGCAATCACATGGTGAGTAATTCCCTGAACACGTCAAACCTCCCTTGTTCTAAGTGGAATTTTTTTCCCACACTTTGTGCTAACCAAGTGCCTCTTGTCTCTTCTTTTTCAGCAATGTTCCAAATGCAAGCATGGTAAGTTGGGTTTGGAAGCTGTTTTCTCTGCAATGTTTGTCAGTGATGATGATCCATTCTCCTTTTTTTATGATATTAAGACAAATTGTGAACACAGGCTGAAATATTTTCTCGCTAGTAAAACCTGAACAGGATATTAATTACAGATTTCTGTGTGATAGCTTTTTTTTCCCCACTGGCTGTGATGTCAGCTGAGTTCTGCAGTGCTGGTTTGGCTTTTGCCCCTGACATGTCTATTGGATAGAGAAGTCTCCAGAATATTAACAGTGGAATTCATCTCACAGGAGAGCTTTCCATATAAATGTATTTGTAATCAGCTAAAAATATTGTCAAACGTAGCCATTTACTCAGATCAGCTTAAGTCCTTCTGCTTAGTGATGGAAATAATGAGCTTCAGCTCAGATGAAACTGCAGGAGCAGTTTTTATGTTTTAATTAAAAAATATGTTATATTAATTGTTATATGGAGCAGCAGATGTTGAACTTCTCAGTCCACTCCTGTGCAATTAGCAGCCTGAGTGTCTTTGGCCCATTTTGTGGCCCTACAAAACAGCAGCCTGTTCTTGCACTTCCCTTTTCATGGCAGAATTAATTTCTGTTGCCTTGGAGTGAGATAGCTCTGAGTTAAGTGTACCACTGGAAACTATTGTAATATCAGAACCTGATTGGGAAGGTGATTAAAGGTGACTGTCCTCTCATTTCCTTCACTTTGGGGTTCTTGCAGCACTGGATGTGCTTTGATGGAGCTCTGTGACAAGGGGGAGCAGGCAAGTGCCAAGATACCATGGTGACTTAGCACTCGAGAAGGCTGATGAACTTGGGAATTACAGTTTTCAGTCTCATTATCATAAGTAACACAGAAGCAACTTAATTGTAGCAGCTTAATCTCCATCTTTTTTCCTTTGAAGCAGAACACTCACAGCTTCGCTCTGAAATCAGAAAATTGCCATGTTTTGCTGTTTTTACTATTGCTGTCTTTACTCTGCCTTCTTCCTATTTCAGCTGCTTCTAACTCGAAGTGTCATAAGCCACTGACATCTGATGTTACCTGGGTTGTTCCCTCCTGGAGAGAACTGAGGGCAGGCTTTCTTTTGCATTGCTTAGTTCACTTTTGGATCCAATTGTTCGTGTTTTATTCAGACTGAGGTTTGCATGGGGCAGCGTGCCCATGGTGGGGAGGGTGCAACTCACAAAAGAGACAGGCAGCCTCTTCTCTAACCCAGAATGACAGTATGTGCAGGGTGCAAGTGCAGTTCTGCACAGTGGTTTTGGTGTACAGGATGCAGAACTTCAAGATTTACTTTCCATAGTTGAATGAGAGGCTGTGCAATTAAAATCTTCAAGACAGGCTGGTATTTTTGGCTCACTGTTGAGTTCTGTTTTGCAAGATGATACAAAACGTGTGTGTTTCTTGGCTTAGCAGAAACATCTGAACACAGATGGGCTCTGTCTCCTGAAGCTTTTCTTTCTTAGAGGTTTTTTTCTGTGCATCACAGTGGGTTTTTTGCTGTTTTCTGCAGACTTCTGCTGGATGTGTCTGGGAGACTGGAAGACTCATGGCAGCGAGTACTACGAATGCAGTCGGTACAAAGAGAATCCTGATATTGTAAACCAGAGTCAGCAAGCACAGGCCAGGGAGGCCCTTAAGAAGTACTTGTTCTATTTTGAGAGGGTAGGAGACATCTCCTTGGCCAGAGCTGCTGTAGCCTTTTAATGCTCCCTGCCTGGTGCAAAGGTCATTGCCAGCAATATCCGTGCAAGAAACTGCCCAAAGAGAATCTGTGCAGAATTTTCAGGCCCTGTTGTTTATCACTCAAAATCCTGCCCTGAAAGTCCCATGCAAACCAGTGATGTCATATCCAAAGCAATTTGTATTCACTCCTATATTCGCTTGTGCTGGAGAAAATCAGTATTACCTGTGTGCCACTGTACTATGTACCTGTAGGCTGAGTGCTGCTGCAGTAGATAGATATTGCTCCAATCATTTCCTTTCAGGACTGGGGAACTTCTGTTCCTTGCAGTACATCTTTATACAGATAAAAACTGAATAAATTTACCACGTTCAAAGCTCCATTGGCTGTAGCAAAGTTTTTACTAAAATTTCATGTAATCACATTTTTAAAAGCATGTCTGTCCACACAGCAGGCTCCATGCACCTGGCCATGCAGAGCAACTCTACAGCAGTATCTCTAGAAGAGAATGTGGTAGAGGTTAAATACTGCTGCGTTTCAGCTTCCCCATTAAAATGAGTTTATTCTCCAGAGCATGAGCCAAGTCCTGTCATAAAATAAATGTCTTCATTCCTGGCTCTCCAGACCAACAGGCTTTGGGAAATAGCCATGTTTACAATGTGCACATGGATACTGGAGTTCACTGAGCCCATGTCAAATGTTAATTTAATCTCTTGACCTTCCTATAGAAATCCTTTGAGTAGAGGAATCCCCGTGACTTTCCCCCTTGTTAGACATGAGGTCACTGTGTGACCAGAGGGCATTCCCACTCGGAGGAGCTGGGTTTGCTCCCTGGTCTTGCTGCTGTCAGTCTGTTGTCTGCAGCCTCTGCCACTTGCTACTGGAGGTGCTGCCTTGCCATTCTTTCCCACAGCATGTCTTGCCTTGCTGGACTCCTGCCCCACTCCAATTTCTGCTTGCTAGAGCTTGTGCTTTTACAGCAGTAGTACTCTGTTCTCATGCTGTTTTTTTCCTTTCCCTGTCTTCCCACATCTTGCAGTGGGAGAATCACAATAAAAGCCTACAGCTGGAGGCACAGACATACCAACGAATCCAGGAAAAAATACAAGAAAGAGTTATGAACAATTTGGGAACATGGATAGATTGGCAATATCTACAGAATGCTGCAAAACTACTTGCAAAGGTGAGTAATTGTCTCTTGTTTGGCACAGTGAAGAGAACACATGCCAGAATGCTAAATTCATAACACCAAGTAAGGAAGGAAATTTAAGAGTTGTGGTTTTGTGGGACAGTACTTCTGGTGTAGGACATGAACAAACCAAATATCATCTAGAAGTGACCTCTGTGAAGTCACACTCTACAATACACAGTCCTGCACAAGTTCTTCCAAGGAAGGTGTAAGAAATTCTACCAGGAAGTCTCCAGTTGTCAGGTGTAGCTTCTTAGCCTGTAGTGATTGCATAAATATGACTGTGCTGACTTCCAAGACTGAGACTCCTGTCTTTTTCTCTCTCTTCCTCCCACTCTTGGACAGTGTCGTTACACCCTGCAGTACACATATCCATATGCCTACTACATGGAGTCTGGTCCCAGAAAGAAGCTGGTAAGATGCTCTGCTCTTTTTTTGCTCATAACTTTTCAGGGTGTACCTGGCAGCATGCTGGATTGAATTCCAGAGCTGGGCAGTGTCTGAAATTTGTGTCCTGAATTTGAGGTAAGGACAGGATAAATAGGTGGGATTGCACCTTTCTTCTTCACTTCAAGTCGACCAGCAGCTCTGTCCTCTTATACATTACATTATTTTCCCAGGGGACTTCACTGCACTTTCACTAACAAGCCATTTATCCAGAATGTTTTGAGGCTGGAAGTGTGCATTTATTTCTTGGTAAGATTTATCACAATGCTGTGGGCCATATTTCCTGTGAAGAGCTGCTGGAGGAGAGCTTTTCCTTGGATCAGGGTGTAGCTTTGCTTTTTATTCCTGCTCTAAGTTCCTTGCTGGCTTGGTGCGTCTCATGGGCTGAAAAAGTACAAAAATAACCTTGAATTCAGGGAAGAGTTTTTTCTTTGACTCAGCTGTCCTGTAAAACCTGTTACAGAATCTTTCTTCATGGCATCAGGTGTTCTCTAAGGCTGTGGATAGATGTTCTCTTCTGGATCTGACTGTGCCTGTGGAACACATTGCTGCTCCCAGCAGTGGTTAACAGTCCCTTCACTCTGCCTGCAGAGCTACTTATGAGAGCATCTTGTGACCTGCTTATGGCAAAATAAGCTGAGTTAGGAGATATTTGTCACATGCAGTGTTTTTAGGCTGACTGGGTTAATTTTGAGTGATGCAGGTTGGGGAGAGCTTCCACAAGAAATGCCCAGAAGGGGTGATCCCATCTAGGTGAAGGTGGATAAGGAGGAGACACAAACCTGCTCTGCCAGCACTGCTGTCATCGGGACACATTTGTCTGCTCCTCAAGTGTAAAGAAACTGCTCCACTAAACTAGTTTTGTGTTGATGTCTCTTATTTTGCTCTTTGCAGTTTGAATACCAGCAGGCCCAGTTGGAAGCTGAAATTGAAAATCTCTCATGGAAGGTGGAGCGAGCAGACAGCTATGACAGAGGGGTGAGTGTTCTGCTTGCTTGAGCTTGTTGGCCAGATTTTCTTTGTTGGTCTTAACACTTCTGCAGGAGCACTAAGGCTGTCAAGTGAGGGTTCTGAGAAGCTAGATCCAGAAACCACCTTTAGCCAGAAGATGATGTAGAAGCAGCCTTGTGGGAGAGGAGGGAGGGCTGCAGGGATTCCTGCAAAATGAAACAAGTCCCATGGAGCTCTGGAGGAGACTGCATGCAGCCTTCTGGTGAAAAGCAGGTTTCTTAAGTGTGTAGCATTTTAGACAAAGCAGGTGCTGGGTTACTGCAGAGGGAGCCCACTGAGCTGAGATCTTGTAATCCAGAGTGTGCATGAAGTGTGTGATGGTTGGTGCTTCAACTGCAGAGGGAGCCCACATAAAGAGGATCTGAGATCTTGTAATCCAGAGTGTGCATGAAGTGTGTGATGGTTGGTGCTTCTCAAGCTGGAGTTTAGTGTCCCCCTAAGGAAAATTAGGTCTTCTCCAGGGATTTTATTCTAACAGTTTGTACTTTCTCTTTTACCAGGACTTAGAGAATCAGATGCACATAGCAGAGCAGAGACGGAGGACCCTGCTGAAAGACTTCCATGACACATAAGAGAGGAGGAAGTGACAGTGCAGGGGTGAGAGCAGCGAGTGAAGTGATGGTAGCTTCACTGGGATAAGCAGGCACTGCCTCTGGGAGAACACGGCCAAGGACAAAGCCACCCCTCCCCTTGCAAGTCAGACACATGCAAACACCACCTCTTAGTCCAGTTTGTTCTCTTATCTTTCTGTTTCTGTTTCTGCCAGGCTAGAGGCCAGAGCTCAGATTGGCATATTTCCTGGGCCATTTCCCTCCTGCCCTTGATGGTTTCAGAAGGGGAGGGAGTTTTTTTCTGAATGGCTGTTAATAGTGTTAGATCATTACAGTTTATGTAATTTTCAACGGTTGTACAATTATACAGACAAAACCTTAGAATAACACAAAACCCTTTTTAAAAATAAATTGGCAGTGGAGTGTTTTTCCTTAATCTGCTTGTAAATTTAATGGGCTTTTCCCCCTCTCCTTCTCCCTTCCTCTGACCCAAAAATCCTCCTAGTCATTGAAGGAGGTTAAAAAATATCTCAGCTAGATTTTCTGATGCTCCTTTAACCAGGGCATTGCAGCATTGGCATTGCATGAGGAGAGTGGCTGCTGTTAAGGGTGGCTGCTGCTGTGTCTGGCCTGACAGTACCAGCAGTGGCTGTGACTCAGTTTGATCACATGTGACATCTCTTTTTCTTGTAAATCAGCTGTGCAAAATCCAGCTACACAGACAAAAACAAACAGAGGAATTGTCAGGGACAGACCAGGTTAACATTGGGGGGATATGCTTGAGTTTCAGAGAAATTGAGAGAAATCAGATTCTGCATTTGATGAATTTAGGTCTTCCATGTAGATTTTTGCTTTACTTGTTTTTGTGGGGAGGATGTTGTATTGCCAAAGTGAGTGATGAGGGAGTAGTAGCATACAGTTGTTAATCAAGGCTTGGGGCTTTTGCAGAGTGAAAGAATCCATGTTATAACAGTGCCATGCAGCCTGATAAAGATTATTTGTGCCTGCTGGGTAGCATGGCTGAGAAAAATTGATCTCATTCATCAAAGTGAGACTAAACACCACTATGTTATGAGGAGGAAAGATTGTGTACAACACACTCCCTGGCACGTGTTGGCAATGTGGACAGGCACTTGAATACAGGTGCACTGCTTGTGCAGAGCCTGCACCAAGCCAGGCAGAAAATTAACTAGCAAAATTAATTTATTTGTATATTAGTATTGATGCTGGTGGGAACTTATCAGAAAATTGATTGTTAGGAGCATGTGGAGCTTTTTTATTAACATTCTCTTTTCTAATGTAAAATATACACTAAAATAAAAATATGAAAAACCTAGTTCATCTTAGTAGGGGTTAACATGAAAAATGTTACTTAAATGCTGACTCTTGCCTGTTTGCTACAGGAAGCAGGCCATATATTAGGATTTCACAGATATCTGTGTTACTTGCACCAGGAGCTTGTTGTTTACAGCCAGTAAGGTGCAGCTGGAGTCTGATCTGAGGAAATTTTCACCTCTGTGGGGAACTCATGGGATTCTCTTCTATGCTGTATTTGGAAGTGTTGCCTTTGATGCATCCCTGTATTGTTCTTATGCAACGTCACTTGATAAAGATTAAACTGGAGGGGGGAAAAGTGCTAAATTCCTGCATGTCAGAATAAGCTAACTCTGCTGTTGGAGCCTCTTTGGTACCTGAGATGTGACCCAGGTACTTGCAGCAGGTGCAATTGGGCTCATAGATTTTATCAAGACCGATGCTTTAGTTTAAACAAGGAGTAGCTGTCATAGGAGCTAATCCTGTGGCCATGCTTGTTGTACACAGCAGAAAATTTCAACCTGAGAGGCCTTTTCCTTCCTCCCTCCCATCCCTGGTGTGGGATCTATCCTCAGGGAACAAGGGAATGCACTGCGAGGAGCTGCTGGCCATGAGTGAGTGTTACAGCAGAGGCAGCTGAGGGTAGGGCAGGCTCATGGACAGATGGCTGGAGCCAGGGAGCAGGGCAGGGAAGGGATCTGTGGTTTCTGGGAGCAGCACTGCTTGCTGTGGAAGAGGTCTCCATAGCCATGGCTCCTTACATTCCTGCTCTGTTCTGTTCTGGCTCCCCTCGAGGCTGGAGCTGTACAGATAAATCTGGCCTTGCTCCAGCCACTGTCTCTTGATTTCATTTCTTACTCTGCACCCAGCAGCAGCCTCTCTGTGCCCTCCTCATGATATATCCTAGAGGTCAGTCTCTCTTCCTCTCCCCTTCCCAAATTATTGTCTTGGCATACTGCTTCCATGGGAGGGGAGTCGAGGAAGGTTTGCTGAGACCCAGCAGTTTGCAGTGAATACAAACAATGTTTAAAGTATTCCTTAAAAATGTAATGTGCAAAGTACTGATTAGGATAAAAGCTGGTGTTCTTGTCCAAACATAACTATCTTAACACCTAGTCCCTTTGCAGAGCAGGTATGTGGAGTTTCCTAATCCCAAAGAATTTTCACTTCTGTTACATAATTGTCCAGCTTTGAGCTAAATGAGAATGAGGTTTTGTCTCTCCTTCCCTCCTTCTTTCCCTCCCTCTCTCTTCTATGCCCCCACAAAATATTTTGCTATGAATTCTCATTTGTGGACAAGCCAGACCATATAGCTGTGGCGAGGCTTGCTGAACAGGCTGCTGAGATGCTTGGCTGAGGAACAGTAATAAAGATTGCACAGTGCACCCACTAATTCTTTCAAATTTTCTGAAACTAGAGCTTTGTCAACAGTTCCATTTATTTTTAAACAAAACATCCTTTCTGAAAATGGTGAAAGCCCTGGGTTGCACCCACAAATCCTATTGCCATACTCTGGGAAAACAACAGGAATTGCTTTTGCAGCCCGGGCAGGAGCACTTCTGTGTTGGTGTTGTACAGAAAGTCATGGACTTCAAGACAAAGTGTGCAGGGCACAGGGGCTGCTGGCTCTGTGTGAATGACACTGCTCAGGAGGCAGGTGACAGGAAGGAAATGGGGCTTCTCAACACCAGAAGAAAAGGCCATTTCCCCCCCACCCCGTAATAAATACATGGCCCTCTTTGAATTAGCAAGGTCATATGGATGTAGGTAATAAAAAGTGGCTCAGGAGTCATTAATTCTGAGGTACAAGTTTCCCTTTGATGCGTTACTGATACAGACGTGGAATGTTTGCTCTCTTTTTTTCTTTTTTGCACTTGTTTCCAGCTCCTGCGCCAGCCCGACACCTCTCCATCCTTGCATCTGGTACTTTTATTTGGGCCTCGCTTGTGTTAGTGCATTGGCTGCCTCATCTCTATTCGTCCTCAGGCTTCCCAGACTGTAACAAAGCGTTTTCTACTGACACCGCAAACTGCATGACTGCTGCCCTGCGCAGCGAACTCCCCGTGCCCGCCCGCAGCCGGGGCAGCACGAGGTTTCTGTACTATAGTCTTGCACTCTAAATTTTAGACTTTTTAAGCGGGTGAAAAATAGAACTTTATTTTTAAATGAGGCACTTGTTCTGGGAATTCCTTTCTCGGCCCCGGTCTGGGTGGCGTTGTGGGACAGCCTTGAGGTGTGCGGGAGGGCTCGGCACTGCTCCCACCCCTCGCTTTTCTCCGCAGGCACCCGAGAGGGGCAGGGGCGGCGGAAACCGCCCGGGAGACGGGTTGCCAGAGGCGTGCCCGTGGTTTATTTGAAATAAACGGTGACTTTCTAACTCGGGCGGTGTGCTGGCTATTCTTCGCGGCGGAGGGCGGGGGCGGCCGCGCCGTGCCCGCCCCGCGGTGACGCGGTGCCCGCCGCGCCGTTGCCGCGGTGAC